CCACCGCTGTTGGTATTGAAACGTCCACAACAAAAGAACCAAGTTCAGAGAGCACCAAAGACCCTAAGGCCTCCTCCTCCACCACTCCACAAACGCCATTCCCTTCTAGCACTGATGATGTTACCTAGTTGGGTGTTGAAATGTCTCCAAGAAAAGAACTCAGCTTAGAGAGTACCAAGGGCCCCTCATTCCCAGCCTGAGCTACAAACATTCTCCTTTATTGATAGAGAACATGACGGTGGCCTTCTTAACTTCCAGGCTAGGCTTTGGAGCGATGGCCATTGGGGCCCTTCATGTGATCACATTCTTGAAGACCAAAGAGGACTCTCTGGGCCATTCACCTCCCTTTCCTTACAGACTCCCATAGAGTCGCATGTGACAGTCATTAGTTAGGGCAGAAATGGTCCCAATAGATGTAACGGATTCAGATCCTGGGCTGGTGTTGCCAATGTCGCCATAGATCTAGGGTGCATCTGGGCCCCCGACCCATCAGAAACAGAGCAGAGAGAGAAGGCCGTGTCCTCACTCTTCCTCCCAGGTCTACACCAAAGAGACATAATCTTCTCCAAATATTCTTCCAGATAATTCTGCCCCTACCTGCAAAGTTTTGGGGAGAAAACACCCCCCCTCCCCTATTTTCATAAGAGCTTGGCCTTCAGATCTTATTTTGAGAACAGTTAATCTTTGGAGCAGGAGCAGGAGCTTTCATTTCAAGATATTGGACAACCACTTGTCTGAAGTGGTGTCGGGTTTCCTGCCTAAGCAAGAGGTTGGACTAGAAGACCTCCAAGGTCCCTTGAAGCTCTATTCTATTCTAATTTCAGGAAGGGACAGCCGTTAGCCCCAAATTTTGCTAGGGTCTAATACTCTACAGCCCCCTCCTGCGATCCTTGGCAAACTTTGGAGTTAATACAGAGAGTCTTCGTTGAATGACCATTTTTTCACAGTTATGACCTCTGCTGCATCTCACGAGATCAAAATTCAGACGCTTGGCAACTGGTTCATATTTTTGACCGTTGCTGTGGTCCGCTTTTGT